TTAGGTATTTATACCAGTTATTTATATTATATTACCTATATCAATACAAKTGACTGGGTATAGAAAAAAGTAAATATTTTGTGTGTTTTATTTTGCTGCATTCAACTTATTGTCTTCTTCAAGCTTTAATTGCATTATTATTTATATTGATTAATAATTAATGATTTWAATTTATTATGATCAATCAAAACAGGATATTATACATAAATATATCCCTTTTTATAATATTGTCTGATGGTCGATGGAGTTTCAAAATAGCCTGMTTGAAATCATGCAAACCTAATAAAATCTAAAATGACGCCACTGAATTCATAAATTATAAATAGCACGATAGGTAGCTAGCAGTCAAATAATTATTAATTTATTTTGTTAAAAATTATATACTATTTAAGCAATAAACAATGGTTTTCGTATATTAAAAAATATTATTTTCGAATACTGTATTAAAAATTTTCCCGTGCCCCGTGGTGATTTCAAATTAATTGTTGATCGAAATTCGACATACCTACTTAATATTAATTCTCGTCTTTGTTGTATATAAACAGGAAAGAGTCAATTTATGTACTGTATGATATAATCACTCTTATTTAAAGGATATCAAATACTTAAGGAGATTGCAAACGGATAGTTTTTAAGGAGTTCAGATTAGGCAATAATATATGTGCGTGCGTGCGAGCTGTGCGGTGTGTGCGTAGTAAATGATCATAAGTGGCACTACCGACTAGATTGGGAAACGGTGCGAGCGGAGGTTCTGAGAACATATTATTATATCATTTTGTAATACGGGTGATGATAATTGATAATATCATAATTACATAGGTATCCGTTGTTGTATAATGTTATAATGTTAATTGTATAATGTTATAAGGAATGTTTTTTTTTTTTTTATTGATCTTTAAAATATGAAACATCGGATTCTACAGTCATTACTTCATTAGTATTTAGTAGTAAGAAATTATTTATTCAACTATTAATTTGTTGGTCAATAAAATAAAGCTATATTCATGAAATAATCAAATTGCAAGTACAATATAGCGGGAAAGTGGATGTCGCTCTGCTGTACAGTAGGTTACAAGTGGGTTACTGTAATGGATGGAA